GACAAGAACAACATATATAAGATTCGCCAGCGACGCGTAGAAGAATTAGTCAACTGCTAGAAGTGTCAAGTGAATTTCACAATTAATCTCCAACTGCAGGATATCTAGCAACCACCCCACACTGTCAGATATGGCACAGGGCCGAATTTAATGTGGGGTATCTGAGCCGTAGGCTTGGCCAAAAATTACCCTTGAACCTCGTATAAAACGGGGTCGGTTAGCTGTTTCCCGAGACGAAACTCTGCCTTTCAATATAGACTCTTCTGGGGATCCTCTCTGCCCGGACGCAGAGAGTTTGACTAGCACAGCTGGAGACGAATCTCCAACTGTAGGATATCTACCAACCGCCCTACGCGTGTCACAATGCTGAATAATGTGGGGTATAGCCCGTTTGCTCGGCCAAAAAATCCCCGTATAAAACGGGGTCGGGTAGCTGTTTCCCGAGACGAGACTCTGCTCTTCGACATAGCCTCTTCTGGGGATCCTCTCCGCCCGGAGGCAGAGAGTTTGACCAGCACTGCTGGTGACGAATCTCCAACTTTAGACCAACATACAGTATTTACTACTGTATTTATGTGAATGGGGATATACCCATTAATGTCCGTAGGTATGCTATAACAAAAATAATATTTATACATAATGAACAGGCGTCATCTAATCGGGTAACAGCTAGCGTGCTAGTCTGCTTAAACTTTATTTACTTAGTAATGTGTTCAAACATTACTAAGAACTCCATACTTGCGGCCTTGTTCCAAACTATGTGTCATGGGTCCTTACCTATAACTACAGAATGAAATCTTCCTAACACTATGTATACTACGCCTCTCAAGAGAGAGGGACGAATCGAGTCAAGCCGATAGTAGTTCACTCCAAACCAGACTGACAGTCATCCTAACACCTTCCACATCTTGTATTATTATTTCGTGTAATATACCTTCGTTATTTCTACTCTTGTGTTCGTGTTGTTCTTCCTTGGTCCTAACCTGGACCATAACACTATTTTAAGCTTCGTAAATAACAACCATGAATGTAATTTACCATAATTATTGAACAGTTAAGCACCGGGAATATATTTCTTATACAAATAGAAAGAAGTCTCTTGTAAAAAAAATTATCATTTTTCTGCATCACTTACTCATCTTAGTTGGTTTTCTTTATCATGATATTTCAACCAGAGTGATTCGGCCTTCTTCAGATATACACAGACTATGAAAGGAAAAAAATCAACCTTGCGCCAATGAAAACTGCATATATATATATATATATATATATATATATATATATATATATATATGTGTGTGTGTGTGTGTGTGTGTGTGTGTGTGTGTGTGTGGAAAAAACGAGAAATAGAAACAACCAATTTATTGCGTCTGGCTAGTTCAATAGTAAAACGGTGAGACCTACTTGCCAATCTAGTAGCACGCTTAAATTCCCTATTGTTATTATTTCTTTGCCCTTTTGCCCATATACATATGTATGTATATTGGCTCCCAACGTAAAAATCAACTTTGTGTCGCATCCTTAGTGGGGCGGTCGCGTAAATATATACGCTGTTGATAAGTATCGTTAACAATTTCGCTCTTGTATTTGAAATTACGATCGAAATGCCTTGAAAATCAGGACAAATAAGGATTGTCGGCGGGAAGTCATTGAGTGAACATTACAGACCAAGCAGATGTATCATATGTATAATAATATTCTTAAAAAACACTTTATAATGATAAAATTACTTGTCTTGTATCCCTACTTGTTTATATAGCATGCATTTTGCCCCAGCTGCAAGTTTATTGTGAAGGATCATGTGACAATTTTAAGTAGCCAATGTTAAAAAAGTCAAGATATTCTTTACAGCTAAACTGAAATATTTAACTCCCTCTCAAATAGCACACCCTGTTGGGCGATGATCGTGGGGGTAGTTAGAAGCTGTTTGTTTTTGTTTTTTTTTTTATAGCGAGTTACCGAATACAATGTAATGTTAATTGACAAGTTTCTTGAATAATTAGTGCAGCAGTAAAATCAAGCTTCTTTCTAGTTTACATTTCAAGAGGTTTTTGGAATATTTATAACTGAGCCTCATTTCTTGAAATTAGATTAAGACTGAATTTAAACGCAATATATACTTACTTCTCTGTTTATATTAATGGTGAAAATTTCACAAGTCTTGTGCAATGTTTTGCAATATGAAATATTGCAATTAGACCATATTACTGTTTGCAAATACGCGTTTTAGTTCACTTGCGAGTAAAGCTCAGATGCTAGTGCGTGCAACGTAATTTTCATGTAAACTATCTGAACGATGGCGATTAGCCTAAATTGATTGCTTCATCGGTGACCATTATCCCAAATCTTGCTGGATCGATGACCCAGATGCAAAATCGAATGTCTGATCCATGACGCTTATCCCAAACTGAATGACTGATTGATGGCGCTTATCACAAATCGGGTTTCTGATTGATGATGTTATCCCAAAGCTAGTGTCTGCTCGATGACCCAGATCTAAAATCGAGCGTCTGATCGATAATGCTTATGCTAAATCAAGTGCCTGTGTAATCGTACAACGCCCTCCCCGGCCGTCCAAGTCATCCAACACCACGGATGATCGATGAAGATCGCTTCGATCTCAGACCTGCCTTATCCCACGTTCTGATTTAAGTTTGATCATAAGGAGGCCAGGATCGAATCGTCGCAGGTATCCTTGTGTTGGGCTGGTCCAAGCAGGACGAAGACGTACAGAGAAAAAAAAAATAACACTTGTTTTTATATAAGTCCTTCGTAGAATAATTGTTTATATAAGAATTCGCGCGCAATTCTGTCCAACACGCATCTAAATTGGTTTGCTTTGCTGTTTTGGTAAAGTTCGGCACAAGGCTGAAGTCGGGGGCTTTCGTCAGCAGATAATCACGTGGGCCTCTCTCCTGTCTCCGGTCTCGTCTCCGTCACTTCTGCCTCTCTTCTGCATAATTCGCTTCGCGCATTCGTATTTATGGACATTCGACCAAACTGGCGAAGTAAGAGAATTCGATAAATCTGGAGAATTCCCTTCTCCCACTCTCTCATACTATTACCTCTCACTAAATCTCCTCAGTGAGCGTGGGTGGCTTATCCACCCCCTCCTGGTATTTCAACTCAACTTTCGAGCAGGGGAAATCAACTCCAAATTCGTTGTTTACGAAAAATGAAATTTTCGCTTTATAGCTTTCATTTTCAGATCAATCAACATCGCCCCCTAAGTCTGGGTCACTTTTCCATTGTTCAAACTGCCCGACATGCAATTCAAGTCGTTTATGTGGTGTGAATTAAATCCTCAATTCTTCCCAAGGGTTTTTGTATTAACCCTTCTCATTACAACGTCTCTCAGCACATAACATTTTCTTATATTTTAACAAAACTTTCTTCCGTTTTACCGCGTCAAGGCCATATGGTACCACACCTGATCGGAGACACTTATCCAAAATCTAGTGTCTGATTAATGGTGATTAACCCAAACCCAGTATCTGATCGATGATCCGCATCCAAAATCGAGTTTCTGATTGATCATTCATATCCCAACTCGATTTCATGACTGATGACACTTATCTCAGATCGACTGTCGGATCGATGACACGTCAAATCAATTATCTGTTGCGTAATAATTAACCCAAATCAATATTGTAATCGATCACACTTATACCAAATCACATTTCTGATCGATCACACATACCAAATCAAGTGTCTGATCGATCAAGCTTATCCCAGATTCTGAGCGATTACATATCCCAATTTGAATGTATGATTAGATCCTTATACCAAATCAAATATCTGATCTATGACGTTTATCCCAAATCGAGTATCCGATCGATTACACTTATCTCAAATAAAGTATCTGTTAGATGACGCTTATTCCATATCGTGAGTGTGGTCGATGTTCCTTATCCCACATCGAATGTCTGGCCCATGACCCTTATTCCAAACCGAGGAACTGATTGATGACGCCTATCCCAAATCAAGTGTCTGATCGATGACACTTATTCCAAATCGATTTTCTAATCTATGGCACTTATCACAAATGTCTAATCAATAATCCTTATCCCAAATCTAGTGTTTGGTCGATGACACTTATCCCAAATCGAGTGCCTGAACGATGGCATTTATTCTAAATCGATTGTCTGATCGATGACCATTATCTCAAATCGAGTGTCTCATCGATGGCACTTAGTGTAAATCGATTGTCCGATCTATGACTCTTATTCCAAATTGAGTGTCTGATCGATGAGCCTTATTCAAAATCGATTTTCGGATCGATGGCACTTATCATAAATTGAGTGTCTAATCAATGATCCTAATCCCAAATCTAGTATTTGATCGATGACACTTATCTCAAATCGAGTTCCTGAACGATGGCATTTATTCTAAATCGATTGTCAGGATCGATGACCATTATCTCATATCGAGTGTCTGATCGATGGCATTTAATGCAAATCGTAAATCGTATAAAAATATAACGATCCAACTCAGCACTTATAGTGATTTTGCATGGGTAGCTTAGGTGTGGCACAAGGCCGAAAGTATGGGGTAACCAGTAAGAATAGAAAATACTCTGTCGTAATTGTTCTAGCAAGACAAGCTTGTTAACCATTGCACCGCCTCGAGATGCCCCGCTCAGCACTTATATAGCAATTAAATAAAATAATTGATATGAGTGGCCGGTGATCAACTTTGAGCTTGTCAGACGGCTGACACAGCAGTATATGCCATATCTTGATTCTGTCCTAGAGTATCAATTCATGTGTACTTTCTTTGGCCAAATGCATGTTGGTCTCAAGAACATTCCGGATAATCACTCTACAGTGAGATCATCCACAGTTGTTGAAAGCTATGGGTGCTTTTGTTTGCACAGACATAACATTTGCTGAAATCTATTATAATAAAATCGAAATCTGCCTTGTTTTGCATGATGTCTTCATCCCATATTTAACCATCTATATAGCCAGGTGGCTGGGTTTTTGAATTCAGAGCTCACATGGCCATAATATGTTGAAAACACCGATTCCTGTACGATTCTCAAAGTCAAGCAATATCGAGCCAGGTCAGTACCCAGATGGGTGACCGCTTGAGAATACCAGGTGCTATTAGCCTGGGATAATGACTCGAAATTTTCAATTTCAGTAACATTGACACTATATACAATAGCACTTACACTTCTAGGTACCACGCCCTTTCATTGCATAGGCAATTATGGCTCTCCGCGACTTTCTATCTTGTATGGCTCTTAGCATTTTTTCTCCGTTTGATAAGGTTCCAGCCTCACCCTGTTCCGCCATCCGTTCACACATGCTTCTGAGGTAAGTGGCTCGCTGCCTTGCCCAGCCAGATCAGGCCCCAAAATGGAGTACTGTCGACATATACGGGTAGCAGTTGTCCTATGTTACATTTCCAGTTTCAATAGAGTCTGAACTGAACCCTTTATTTCGTCCACCGGGGTAGATTGTTCTAGTTCCACGTGCCATGCCTCTTCTGGTTTTCTACAACTGAGGTGAACAAAAACTTGAGGAGTTGAGTTAAAGGAAGGTAACTGATACTCTGATTTTTTTTTAATTAGAGAGCCGAGTTCCAATTCCAGTTGTCAATCCGTTACAGGTTATTTAAAGCCAGAAAATATTTTTAGATTGTATGTTTGGTTATATTACGCGCAAATATCCATGGGACATTTATAAATCCACCCTTGTCGCCTCCCCGAGATGTTGGTTAATTAGTAAAACTTTTATCAATAAGCCTCATGACCTGTAAAATAATTCTTACAATCTAAACCGTCCTGGGTAAGACGATAAACTACGTCCAGCAGCAAGGCCTCTGATCAGGAGGCTTTGAGGAGCGTGGAGCCACTTGTTAATTGCTGGTGTTCCCTGGTCCACTCTGACCTGGGGTGGTAACACCTGTTAGGGCTTCAGCTATGAGCAAATAGCTAGCCCCGAAACTGGGGTAAAAACACTATAAAAGTGTAAAAATAGGTTTTAATACCAGAAATTCTTTGTAAAAATAATTATTACCAGCAATAAATTTTTAAAGGAAAAAAATATTAGCAGCAATATGTTTTTGAAGAAAATTATTACCAGTTATACATTTTTGAGGAAAAAATATTACCAGCAATACTTTTTTTTGACAAAAATTATTACCAGCAATACATTTTTGAAGGTAAAATATTACCAGAAATAGATTTTTGACAAAACAAGCTATTACAGCAATAAAACTTTTTCGGCACTAAATAACCCATTGAGTTTGATATGAGGTAAAACAGCAAACCAAACTTACAATCTAAAAATATTTTCTGGCTTTAAATAACCTGTAACGGATTGACAAACCGTAGAAAACGCATTAATTAATCAATCTTTTAGACTAGTTGTCAGCTACCGCTAGTGATTCCTGTCTGTCTTGCTATTTGACCCATAGCTGGGACAATAAAAAAATCCCCTGGATGTTAAAATTCAACTTATTTCAGATCCAAATTTTAGATATTGTCATTGTGGACACAAATCATACGACTCGTCAGGTGGTGGATGTTGCTCTTTCAACTGATGTCAGCGTAAAAATTGAAATAAAGTGAAAACTTAGAAAGATGATTTCCAGAGAATTGAAGAAAATGTGCAACATAATAGTAACAGCTGTGACAATCATTACTGGAACACTTGGATGTATCCTGAAAACTCTTGCAGAGAGATTTGGAAGAACCGGGAATCCGAGGAAAAATTGAAACCAGCCGGTCAACGGCACTACTAAAAACAGCTAAGTGCCGGCGCAGTGATAGGATTTGTTGTCCCTTAATTTCATTGTAATCTACCAGTTACTACTGATATGAACACTTGGGGATTGCAGAAATAATAATAATAATAATAATAATAATAACCACCACCCAGGCGGGCTTACAGAGATAGGACACACAGACAGAACAAGCCAACCGCCCAGACATTGTTATTAGAGACCGAAAACAAAAAAAGGGCCTCCTTATTGATATGGCAGTCCCTGCTGACTGCAATGTATCTTTGAAGATATTGAAAAAGCTGTCAAAATACAAGGGCCTTGAAATCGAAATCTCAAAAATGTGGCCCCTAGGAACATCAACTATCCCAGTTGTAGTTGGAGCTCTCGGATTGGTTGGAAAAAATTCCAGTAGAATAATTGAAGGGATTCCTGGAAGCCCATGCCTTAAAGAAATACAAAAAAAATGTTCTCGCGAGTACAGCCCACACCTTAGGAAGGACTTTATCTATGTAATTTTATTTTGTTTTGTTTTTTTATTGTTAGTGGAAAATGTCATGATACCATTTCTAATCTTAGGTATCTGGGCGGGACCAGGAACGAAATGTGTACACACCAGAAATCAAAGGAAATAAAATAATAATAATAATAATAATAATAATAATAATATGTTTCAAGAACACAATGGCTGGTGACTTGTTGCTCAAAAAGGAGTTGTGAAGGAGGGGAAAAAAGTGAAAGCAACAGTTGGAGGTCAGGAGACAGTACAGAAAGCAGATGTGGGATCAATCTCAGGCCTTAGTTCAACATTCCAGCTTCATCTGCAGAAGAGTCTGCCGTGCAATGATCGAAAAGATAGGCTACTTCAGACGCTGCCCACAAAAGGACTGAATTTCGAACAAACAGGGTGTTACCATTAGCACAAGTTAAACGAATGACCACTATTACTAATACTACTACTACTAGTAATATTAACAAAAAAAATGGTTCACGTAAATTTTCCAATATTTTTCAGCAGTTAAAGGAAGAACACGATTTAAGAAAAGATAAATCAAAGAAAAAACACATTGTTCGATAATGTTAAAACAATATTGTCTTCTTGAAGTTATATTTAAGTAGCTTTTTCAAGTATAAAAATATATAAATCTACAAAAAATTATAAGTCTTTGTATAAACGTTGCTTGTCTTGTAATGAAAAACGGTTGTACCGATAATGAATAATACTATTATTAATAATGTATTGTGTGTATTTAATATGTGAATTGAACAGAAAAAAGAAAACTAACAACTACAATGATTTAAAGTATGAAACTTTGGAAGGACTAGCAAAGCAAGTCATTGCAGGACCAATGATCACTGGAGCACTGGTATGTTGTACGTAAAACACAAAAAGATACTTGCAGATATTTGACTGTGATTTGGAAATAGAGTCTGGTGCTTTTGCATTATGTCTCGAGATTCTGGACAAGTTCCAAATAAAGGTTTGTAATTTAATGGTTCTAATTTGGTCCCTCGACTTCAGTCAATTTGTCAGCGCCGAGGTGTGGTCTCTCTCTGTCTTTTTTTCAATAAATATTTTCATGGAATTTGTTCTAATGAGCCCACCTCCTTTGGACCTGGACTGCGGGAATTTAAGCGAGCTACTTAGATTTGTAATTTAGAAATAGAGGCATTATAAAAATCTTGCAGGCTCACAACAGCGACGCTACTTAGGAAAGTATTGGATATAACCTGTGGTAAAAAATAGGAAAGGATCGGTATAGTTTTCAAAGTCATAAGACTGAAAAATAACCTTTTTACCAACATCATATGCTCTGAATAATAATAATAATGTTGATAATAATAATAATAATAATAATGGTGATAATAATAATGGTGATAATAATAATGGTGATAATATTAATAATAATAATAATGGTGATAATAATAATGTTGATAATAATAATAATGGTGATAATAATAATGGTGATAATAATAATAATAATAATAATAATAATAATAATGGTGATAATAATAATGGTGATAATAATAATGGTGATAATATTAATAATAATAATAATGGTGATAATAATAATGTTGATAATAATAATAATGGTGATAATAATAATAATAATAATGGTGATAATAATAATGGTGATAATATTAATAATAATGGTGATAATAATAACAATAATAATGGTGATAAAAATAATAATAACAATGATGATAATAATAATAATGGTGACAGTAATAATAATAATAATTGTGATAATAATAATGGTGATAATATTAATAATAATAATAATGGTGATAATAATAATGTTGATAATAATAATAATGGTGATAATAATAATAATGGTGATAATAATAATAACAATAATAATAATAATAATGGTGATAATAATAATAATAACAATGATGATAATAATAATAATGGTGATAGTAATAATAATAATAATGGTGATAATAATACTACTACTAATAATAATATTTATAATAATAATAATAATAATAATAATAATAATAATAATAATAATAAACCATAAGAAATTTTACAGGGAAATTGAAAAAACACCTATACATGTCGAAAAGCCACCACCGATTGATAATGTACAGACATTTTGGGAAAATATTTGGTGCAGCCCAAAGGAATATAACCCAAATGCAGAATGAATCCGACGTGAAGAAGAACGAATGCTGGATACACCTCTGCAAGAATGGGAAAATATATCCACAGATGATGTTAGGCAAGCTCTAACGAAATCCCCAAAATGGAAATCCCCAGGAAATGACAAGGTACCGAATTTCTGGCTGTATCATCTCTCATCTATCGATAAAATTCTTGCAAAAACATTATCAACGCTTGTAAATAAACCCAATAAAATCCCGGAATGGATTAGTGAAGGTATTACACACCTCATGCCAAAAAAAACTGAAACAGACGACCCGGAAAATTATAGACCGATAACATGTCTCTCCACAACTGTACTGACGAACCGTAGTTATTTCTTTATCGAAACAAACAGCATTCTTCCTCTGGAACAGAAGGGATTCCGAAGAGGTTCATATGCCTGTAAAGATCGACTACTGATAAATAAAATGATCCTGGAAAATTGCAGGAGACGACGTAGAAATTTTAGCGCAGCGTGGATTGATTATCGTAAAGCCCTTGATAGTGTTCCACATTCTTGGAGCCTTAAGACTTTGGAAATGTACAAAGTCTCCCCTGTGGTATTAAATTTCCTTAAGCACAGCATGGGAATGTGGAACACCAAACTATACCTTAGTCACACCAGGGGCACTGTCATATCCAACCGTCTGAATATCCGACGTGGAATCTTTCAAGGAGACTCTCTGTCACCCCTTCTGTTTTGTTTATCCTTAACCCCCCTTACGC